TGTTATTTCCTGTTTCCTCCTAGTAAACCTAGGTTGATAAGACCTATGATTTTGTCTAGGTGGTGCATAGTGTGTCCTGTGTCGGTTATAAGCATACTTAGGTGGCACAAATAGCTTCTGAGGTGGAGGGTGACTATATCTTGGCATAGTTCTCCACTCAGAATTTCTTGGAAAACTCCTGTCTCCCCCATAATGGGTATAGCCTCGTGTATAATGGGGGTTAGAAGGTTTTCTTTTGAAATTATTTCCTTTTTGAGGTTTGTCCAGCTTCATATAGTTCTTAGGAGGGACTACCTTTTTGGAAACTTCTGTTGGTTTTTCCTTTTCCTTCCCTTTCTGCTTATTTGGTTTAGCAGTAGGTTTAGGAGAGATGAAAGTTGTTTTCCCTTTCCTTTTAGAGCTAGAGGAGTCAAACCCAAGTCCTTCACGACCCTTATGTTTGGTCGTTTCAAGAAGCTTATCCACTGCCTCTTTTGACTTAAGAGTCCCTAGTTCTTTGTTAAGGGATTTTACCTTTTCAGAGAGAGATTCATTTTCAGTCTTGAGTTGAGTGATCTCATTCAGTTGACTTTTCCGACCTTCAGTCAACTTGAGATTCTCTTCACTCAATAGTTTGTTCTCCTTTGTTAAGGAAGAATGTTTGAGATTTATCTCCTCAAAGTCTTTCATCATCTTTTTGAACTGGTCAAAAAGATTTTCAGAAGTTGGTATGCTTTCATGAGAAGATGAGCAGGAGGTTTGTGAGGTTACCTCTTGATCAGCATCATCTTTGGCCATTAGGCAGAGAGTGTCATCTTCTGACATGGTCCACCTATCCTCATGGTTGGACTTTTCAGCTCTGCGCTCCATGCAGACGAGAGCTTCTTCATCCGAGCTTGAGCTGGATGACTCGTCACTTCTTTTTCTTCTCGTTCCTTTCTCTTTCTCCGTACTTCTCCACTTTTGGGTACGGGCACGCTGACTTCCAGTGGCCGGGCTTCCTGCAATTGTAACACAAATAAGATTCAGGAGGAGAGTCACTTACCTGTGGCTTTCCCTTGGATGGCCTTCTGACTGAGTCAGCTTTCTTGAAGAACTTTTTGAACTTCCGGAATTGCTTGACCATCATGGCAAATTCCTCATCGTAGTTCTCCATTTTTGAACTTGACGGCTGGCTGGAGGAGGGTGTGTCACAGTTCCTTGGGCATGTCCCTTCACTTGATGGGACTCTTGGAGTTGTCATCAGTGCCGTGGGGAAGGGAGTGACTTGTTCTTCCTTCTTCTTCTTCAGCTCGTGCTCATAGGTTCTGAGCTCATCAAGAAGACCTTGAACAGTGTAGTTCTCCAGATTTCTTCCTTCTTCCATGGCTGTGGCTTTGGTGTACCACTCAGTTGGAAGAGATCTCAGCAACCTTACATTCTTTTCTTTGGGAGAAAGAACGTGGTTAAGTGATGCAAGATCATTCAAGATTTTGTGGAATCTTTCATCCAGCATATCAAATGATTCTCCGGGAAGCATTTTGAAGCTTTTGAACTTCTCAAGCAGGACTTCTATCTTCTGCTTTCTCAAGTCCTCTGAACCCTCACATAGCTTCCCAAGACCTTGCCATATCTCCATGGCAGTCTTGAGGTGCTTAATTTTGGAGAAGGTGATGGGGTCAAGTGTCTTGAAGATGGCTGCTTTGGCGACGTTATCCAGATTGTGCTTTTTGCAA